TCCTGCGCAGAGAAGCTCCCAGACCAAAGGAAGACTGATGACATGGACTTTCCTCTAGAGCCAACAGAGAAAGTGTTCCCCTGGAGCTGATGCCCTGAATTTGGACTTGTAGCCTACTGGACTATGAGAGAATAAATTTCTCTTTGTTAAAACCACACAATCACACAATTGTGGTATCTCTGTCAGAGCAGCACTAGATGACTGAGACAGTAGGCAAAGATCTTTTTAAAAAGAACCCAGAAAGCACCAATTGTAGAAGATTCATAGATTAGACTTCATTAAAATTAAGAACCTCCCTTTATCAAAAGACGCGAGTAAGAGAGTGGCTTGATTGTTGTTGTTGCTGCTGCTACATTTCTGTTCTGTTTTGAAGGGCATTCCTGTAGGAGGGCATATCATCAGTTACTTGATAGAAAAGTCTCGAGTCGTCTATCAAAACCAGGGTGAGCGTAACTTCCACATCTTCTACCAGCTGCTGGAGGGGGGTGAAGAGGAGCTCCTTGCTTACCTGGGACTTGAGCGAGACCCCCAGCTGTATAAATACCTCTCACAGGTTGGAAGAACCAGCACTTGGCTTTGGTGGCCCTTTGGAGGAAGGGATCAGGGGGGTTTGTGGGGGCTGCTCTAGGACATTGCAGAACTTTCTCTTTATCATTGTGAATATACCCTACTTACTGATTTCTCGACACTTCATAAGCAAGCTAACCCCTCTCCTTTTATGCTTGGGAGGTATAGCATCTTGGTAAAGTAACCAATGTCTAGGCAAGTGGTTCTCAACCTGGGCAGAAACTGGAATCAGATAAAGAGTGTTTTAAAAACACAAATGCTTGGGCTCTACCTGCCAGAGATTCAAATTCTGGAGGTAGAACCTGGTGTCAGGATTGTTTCAAATGCTCCCCTGGTGATTCTAATACTCAACTGGGATGAGAATTCCAGGTCTGGTGATGGAAACTCCCTGCTGATCTATATCCACAACCTATACTACTTCATTCTGCTTTCAAAACTAGTTTTGAAAAGACCGTTTTCCCACCTTCCTGACTTCCATTCCGAGAACTGTTAGCTGCAAAATGAACATACTGTCTTACAGAAATGGTTCAGGCCAATCCTAGGCTCTAATGTTGTAAAACTGACTTTCAGAATTTAACTTTACAGCACTCATTTTTTTTCTGCAGTCTGTACTGTTGTTGTGTGCAGTCAAGTTGATTCCAACTCATAGTGACCCCATGTGACAGAATAGAACTGCCCCATA